GGCCCCGACACGCGGCCCTTCCCTCCAGGGATGCTGCTGCCGGGCGCCGCGGTCCCCCCCCGCGGGCACACAGGACATGGCGACACACACGGATGGCATGGGATGCGGGTGGAGCATGGTGGAAGCGGGGAGCTCAGGCAGTGAAAGGAACTCACACCTCTACCAATCCAACAGATTTATTCTGTTAACACACTTGCACCATACAAAGTAGCACAGGTCACTGGGCAGCGATTCCGGCCCCTTACAAAAGAGCATGGACAATAAATATCTATCATACGTCTAGAGAGCAAAACCTGCCGACCCCGAGGGCGGCTGCGGTGAGAGCAAACTCCAATAAATACAATATGAAATATACAGTCTGTTGAGCAGAACTCATTCAAAGTGCTTAAGACAGAGGAAATATCAAGTCATACACGGCATGGAGCACAATCAATACATTCAGATCACAACAATGGCAGAAGGGCAGCGGCAGCGTCTCCGGAGCGTCCTACACCCCCGCGCGCCGCAGCGCCCCGTGTGCTTTGGATTAGGAAGGGACAGCAGCCCCACGCGCCTGGGACACCAATTTACTCGCTCTTGGGCCCAGAATAAAACAAAGAGATTGAAAGAGAGGAAACTAAAGAGACACAGATGGCTGCTCTGCTGCGAGGAGGAAGAGGAGGAGGAGCAGGAGTCCATGCAGGCTGCAGGAGATGCAGTAGGGAGGCAGGAGCCGAGCGCGAGCAGCAGGCGCTAACAGCAGCTCCCGCGGGCAGCAGCAAAGCGTCTTTTGGCCCATCCAGCTCCAGGCGCTGCCGTGGCCCCGGTCCCGGCGGCTCTGCAGGTCTTCCCATCCCATGAGGGTCGTCCGCCTGGCATCCCCGAGCACGGACAGTGCCTAGACAGCATCCAGCAGGCCCAGAAATGTCCCGGCTTAAAGTGCAGGCGCAGGCCGTCTCAGTGCTTCCTAGACTGTACATTGGGGGGATTTAAAAGGCTCCTGCGTGTCTCCGAGGGGGGGACCCATGCTGGCTGGAGGGCGGGCGAGCCTCTAATCTTAGATCAATCCCAGTGCCCATCCCTTATCCGGCCCTGGAGAGGCAATGAAAAGTGAGAGAATTTGTACAGAGGTGCCGTGTGTAACCACCTGGATCTTCTAATTTGGAAGGAGTTGGAAAGGCCTTTTTGTTGATGAAAAGTTGGAAACAGTGGCACATATCTGCAAATATCGAAAGAATAAAGAGTTTGGCAAGTTATACTGAGAACGCGGACACGAGCCTGCGGGCGGCGGGGCCGAGGGCGGGCGGCCGCGGCGCTGTCTCCACCTGGCGGCACAGGCGGCACGGCCGGGGCGCGGGCCGGGGCGCGGGGCGCGCGGGGGGCAGCGGCCCCGGGCGGCTCGGCTCTGCCTGCAGCCGCCGCCGCGCGCGCGGAGCCGGCGCTGCGAGCAGCAAGCGAGGGAGCGGCAGCCCCGATGAGTGCGGCGAGCCCTGCAGCGCGGGCGAGCAAGCCGAGGCCGGCAGGAGCGAGCAGCGAGAGCGCAATGGTGCCCAGGCGCGCATGGTGCCCACAGCAAGGAAGCGCAAGCCCCGTGGCCAGCCCTCCAGCCCAGAGCACGTGCCCAAGCCCAAGCCGGCCGGCCCTGCGAGGAGGGAGAGCGCGGCCAGTGCCCACGAGCTGACGGCGAGTCCAGGAGGCGCAGGCGAGCGGCAGGATGGCGGCAGTGCATGAGCGCCTGCGCTGGGCGCAGCAGCAAGCGTGAGCGCGAGGCGGCGGGGAGGGAGCAGCGCCCGGCGGGACGCGGGGCAGGGGAGGCCGCGGGGAGCCCCGAGCAGGGACGGGCCGCGGGGATGCAGCCACGCGCCAGCAGCAGCAGGGCTTGCAAGGAACCCGTGGGCTCGGAGGTTGCTGGGGATGGTCTGTCTGCGGGGCCAGGCGCTGTAGAGGGACACGTGCAAGGCAAGTGCATGAGATGCGAAGAGTGAGGAGAGCACAAGGCTGCAGGACACGGGAGCAGGAGCTCTGGGGATGTCAGGAGCTGGGGAGATCAGCTGGGCACATGACGCGGATACACTCAGAGCACGAGGCGGGGGAGCTTCGGATGTCGGCAGCGCGATGACAGCGACACGGGCTATGGGCACTGCGAGTTTCTACGCATCCAGGATGAGGGCAATGGCAGCTGTTCACACAGGGAAACACAGAGCGACAGGTACAAGGACTTTGTGGTGGCCAGTTCCACAGACAGCAGACATGGATATACGAGAGCAATGGTGGCCGAGAAGCAGAGACATGGGCAGGAGGGAGGGCACAAGCCCAGCACGCTTACACGGGAGCACAATAATGTGCGCAACACAGGATGTCTACGCCAGACACGGGGACCAGGAGGACACCGGGAGCCGGGTTGGCCCGCAGGCACGGCAGGGCGGGCAGCACTGTGTGCACAGGGCAGAGGTGTGCGCGGCGCGGGCACGGGCACGGGCATGGGGCGGGCTCCCTCGCCGGCTGGCAGGGACACAAAGGCTGCGGAGGGACCCTGCGCCGCCAGGTCCTGGGGATCCACTGCTCCTGGCACGGCAGCGCTGCTGTCTCCCTGCCTGCCTACGGGTAACACCCGTGCACAGCTCAAACCCCTTCTCGCGGCGCTAGGGCAGCGCGGAGCAGGGCCAGGAGCACACGCCGGGCTCGGCACAGAGCCATCTGCCAGGGCACAGGGGTGTCCAGGGGCCCTGTCTGTGAGACCTGCTCTGTGCTCTGGGGACATGGACCCTGGGAGGGGAAACACAGGAGTCCCCGGTGCAGTGCACGGGCGCCGGGAGCCACAGGGGTCCCCAGGGCTGTGCACAGGGAGTGCAGGGGTCTCCACCTCTGTGCACAGGGAGGGAGCTGCAGGGGTCTCCAGGGCTGTACAGAGGGTGGGAGCCGCAGGAGTCTCCAGCTCTGCGCACAGGGAGCCACAGGGCTCTCCAGCTCTGTGCACAGGGAGTGCAGGGGTTTCCAGCGCTGTACACAGGGAGGGAGCTGCAGGGGTCTCCAGAGCTGTGCACAGGGAGTGCAGGGGTCTCCAGTGCTGTGCACAGGGAGTCACAGGGGTCTCCAGCTCTGTGCACAGGGGTCTCCAGAGCTGTGCACAGGGAGTGCAGGGGTCTCCAGTGCTGTGCACAGGGAGTCACAGGGGTCTCCAGCTCTGTGCACAGGGGTCTCCAGAGCTGTGCATAGGGAGCTGCAGGGGTCAGCAGTGCTGTGCACAGGGAGTGCAGGGGTCTCCAGTGCTGTGCATGGACACAGGGAGCTGCAGATGTCTCCAAGGCTGTGCACAGGGAACTGCAGAGGTCTCCAGGGCTGTGCACGGGCACAAGGAGCTGCGGGGGTCACTGCACTTGGGCACGGGGAATCCAGACTCCCCCAGCAAGGACAGGGGACCTCTGCTGATCCCCTCACACACTTTACACGCAGACCCGCTCACCTGCAGCTGCTGCTGTGTGTGCAAGAGCAGCTCGCTCTCGCCCGTCCCCGTGCACACGCCCATGCAGAAGACACCTCTCAGCATCACGGGTCCCATGGGGAAAGGCTCCCTCCCTCCGTGTGCCTCCTCCCACCGCAGCACTCCTGCATGTGCCATGGACGTGCATCTGCACGTCCCTGCCCCATCCCTGCCCGGAGCAGAGCTTGCCCTCCAGCTGACACCCCGCGGTCGGGCCACATCGCTGCCACAGCCCCCAGTGGTTCCCGCTGCCCACCCTCTGCAGAGAGTGCCCACCCGAAGTGCATCCTGCCCCTGCGCCGCTTACCGTGAAGATGTTGGAGCGCCGCTTGGACTGCTTGCGGATGGGGGTGGGTGTGTTGGAGGCGGCGATGGTCTCGATGCGCAGCTCCCGCTGGCTGATGCTGGGCGTCGAGGGCACCGAGGAGGAGTAGTCACTGAAGGCTCCTCCGCCGTTGGTGGCCTGGGCAGAGGAGAGCAGCATGAGGCACCGGGGCACGGAGGCCGCCACGGACACGGCCGCTCACCGCGGCAGACCCCTCGCGCCGGCAGGACCCCTCGCGCCGTCGCTGCCCAGTGGGGCACCGGGAAACCTGCCCCCTGCCTCTGCCTTCAGCTTTTCTGCTGGTAAAACGCCACGGCAGCAAAAAGCGGCACTTAGGGTGCCGGGACAGTGCGGGGGCGGTGGCTGGGAGCTGAGGGGAGCGTCGGCCACGAGGCCGGTGCAGCCGGCGCGGCGCCCGCAAAGCGCGCGGCCCTCGGCAGCCGCACGTCTGCCTGCGCGCGCCGCGGCCCCTCCGCCTCCTTCTGCAGCCAGCAGTTTGGAATTCTGGAAATCAGGAATTAGGAAACTTGGGCTGTGGAAGAGGCTGCCCAGGCAGAGCAGCAACCGAGAGCCCCTTTCCTAGAAACCAGGGCAACCTGCACGCAGGCCATACCCTGCCTGATCTTCCATCAGGGAAAAGAAGACACACGAAAGAGAACTTATTTCAAAAGGAGAGGAAAGAACCATTCAGGGAATCAGCCAGGCTTCTCTCTGAAGCACAGCAGTGACTCCTGAAGGACGGTGTCCAGATGTGCTGACCACAGAGAGGAACGTGAGGACAGACCTCCTCAAAGGCCACGCGTGGGGAGTTGATGGCTGCTTTTAGCCATCAGGTGCTGCCACGTATTGCCGGTCCCAGGCCAGCTCGAGGCCAGGCCTGCCCACAGAGCACAGCACGAGACCTGGAGAGCCCTCCGGAGACCACAGAGCCTCTGGTGCCCCGACCTGCACGGCGAACGGGATCTGCTCTGTGTCCACATCCCGGCAGGCGAAGGCAGCTGGGCAGAGAGGCAGCCGGGGGCTCTTGCGAGGCCACGCAGCCCTAGAGGCCTGGACTGAACCAGACGAGGTAGCCGGGCCTCCGAACACATTCTCCCCGCTACGCTCCGAGTGTTTCAGTATCTGTCAGGACGTTCACACAGCTGCAGCTGGAGAAGGATTTGGGTCAGAAGATGCTATAGAGTTTGAGCCTCTCACACAGTGGTGGGACAAATCCGATGGCTGCTTGGAGATGGACCTAGAAAGATTCCTCAGAAGGAGTCTTGCTAAGCTGTGTTTTATAGGCTATATCTCCCTGTAACCCTGCTATCAACCTTTGCCTTGCTAGATTAAAGCTAGGAGGGGCCGTGTGGGCGCTGGGACCACCCAGGAGGGCCGAGGGCAGAGCAGGGGCTGCGAGGGGCAGGCGCCAGCGGGCTCTGCCCGTGCACGCAGCGCTCACCCTCCTGCTCGCAGTGCGGGAGCGATCCGGGCACCCAGAGCACAGCACTGGCACGGGCGAGGGCCAGGGCAAGACAGGGGACGTGTCCGGGCAAATACTGCATTCTGCTCCTGGCAGCTGCTCTGCTCATGTACCCAAACAGCCAGGTTGTCTCTATCAAAATCAAAGAACACAGGGTGGTTGCAGCTCAGCAAAACACACGCAGAACAGATCCTTCCAGCAGTGTGCAGCTGATGGGGAGCTGTGGGCTTCAAAGAAGGGCAGCTGTGCTGGAGGTGCTCGAGCAGGGTTTAGCTGAGGTGAGGCCAAACTGCACTAACTTTGGGCGAAAGAAGGCGTGAGGTGGAACAAGGGAGTGAAACGTGGGAAGGGCCCTGAGGGTGCAAAGAGAGGCTCAGCACCGGAATGGGAACAGGGAAGAAACCGGAGCAGCTGATGGAGCAGGACAGCACAGGGGAGGGCTCCACGAGCCGAGGTCGCCTCGTGGAGGCACAGACCTGCATGAGGGGACACAAACGCTGGAGCAGCAGCACGTGCGCTGACGGCGCTTTGCAGAAACACGCTGTGACGGGCAAGAAAAGCCCCTGCTGCCGAGCACAGGCCAACTGCAGCCTGTGCTTCCTTTCACTTGCTAACTTCACGTTTCTAGTCTTCTTAACCGAAGGGGATTTCGGGGATGCTCTGAGTGCTGCAGACCCGGCCAGACAGGATGCTCCGTGCCCGGGAGGGAGAGGCGCAGAGCGGAGGGGCCAGCACGCAGCACACGGCCGGGGCGCTGCAGAGGTGCAGCCTGCAGCCCCGCGTTACCGCGGGCAGAAATACAGACGTGCAGCACAGACCAACGCACACAGGCAGTCGAGACCCGTCCCACGCTCCTCATAACGCCGCTGCAGCCCTGGAGCAGCAAGAGGAAGGGGCAGGAACACGACGATGCGGGAGCTGAGGTGGGAAAGCTCTCCGTGGAACCCCCAGCACAGCCCTGGGGTAACGGGCAGGCGCTGCCGGAGGGCAGCAGGGCCCCAAACCCACTGGACCTGCTATCCCGGCCAGCATGCAGGCAACGAGCAGCCACAACCACGGGTCACCGAGAGCCTCCCTGGGGACAGGACCAGGGTCCCCTGGGGTCTCGGGGCTCTGAACTGCTGCCAGAAACAGATGCACTTCCTGAGAGCTGCTGGGAAAGGTCCAGCGACAGACGGGCTCTGGAACCCTCGAGGGCGCCACAGATTGTTCACACGGAGCGCACAGGCTCCCAGGGGCTGATCCCGGCTCTCCAGTGTCTCAGAAGACCAGAGGGATGCTGAGCAAATTACTTAAGAGTCACAGACCCGACCGACACATCTGGCGCATTCCAAAGTGCTTGTGGGAAACGCTGGCCACCAGCTGACCTTTCCCTACAGTTCCCATCGAAGCAGGGACCAAGGCAGCAGAATACTCCGCGGCTCCAGAAACCTCCCAAATCCCGGGGTGAAACCAGGGCCGCTGGCGCATTCGAGAGCTGCTTCATGAGGAGGAACCTCCGCTGTGCAGGGACGCCCAAAGGGCTCTCACAGCCCCGCTACCGCGGCGCCCGGCGGCCTGGGGACCCGCCGCCCTCCAGGAGAGGAAGCTCTCCTGGAAAATGTCATCCCAGGGCCTCCTCTGCCCCAGCAGCTGCGACGGGCTCGCTGCACTGCCACAGGAGCAGCCAAGCCGCTTCCAAACACCATCCCTGAGCATGAAGCCACCTCCAGAGCAGCCGTCCCTGGAGCAGCTCCTGCCCGCTCTGAGGAGCCTTTGGGGAAGAGGGAGCCCAGCCCGTGGGAAGGGTGCAGGATGTTGCCAGCAAGCCCTCGGAAAGGCAGCCCGCCAAGGGAAGTGGAGCAGGGACAGAGATGTCACCTCCTGCTGCAGCCGACCGGGTGGCGCAGAGCAGCCCTGCTGTCCCCACGCGCGGCAGTGCCCAGGCTGGGAGCGCTCCTGCTGGCCAGGGCCGTGGGATGCAAGTGACAGTCTTGCTTTGCACACAGGAAAAAAGGGAATATTGTTTCCAGCATCTTTCCTCAGGACCCCAACACCTAGGAGCAGTCAAAGACAAAAGCAAAATAAAAACCCTAATCTGCATTTCCTTCTGGCTTCTTTCCATCAGAAAGATGCTGTGTCCTGTGTTTCCAAACTCTTCCTTGAGGTTTGCTCCTTCCCAGGGCCTGCACTGAGGTTGCTGGAGGCAGCCGGAGCCCCCGGAGCCGGTGCCGGTGCCCCGGTTCTGCAGAGCCCCCGGCGCAGCCCTCCCCACGCCCCTGACCCGGCGCCCGGCCCCGAGCCTGGCCCGGAGCGAGGACACCAGGGCCCCCGCGGCCGGCACCTGCGACACCCTGCAGAGCACGGAGCTCTGCTGCGCTCGCACCGCTGCTGCAGCTGCTGCTGCCAGCCAGAGGCACCGTGTGCCACC